TAAATCATTTCTTCCTCTTCTCACGCGGGTTTGCAGAGCGGTGCCGGCCACGCCAGTGCCGATGTGGCGCAAACGCGGGCGGTGGGAAGTCATTTGGGCTGGGGCTGTCACCTGGGGCTGGTGTCACGGTGTTCTGTGAGGTCACTCCTGCCCCTGCGTTTGGGTCTTCTCCGGGAACCCTTCTCCAGCCTCAGTGCTCAGGAGTCGTGCATTGCCCATCCTGCCGACTAAGGGAACGTAGCAGAAAATTAACTTCTCAGTCAGAAAGATGAAAATATGAGACGTGAAGGCTTTTCTTGCTGCAGTTTTGCCTTGGAGCGTGCTGCTTCAAAGACAGCAGTGAATTGAAGTCACTAGCTGTAGCTGTCTCGTTCTTTCTGGAGGCAGTGTTTTGATAAATGTTGATGAGTTTAACTGTAAAACTAAATGACATTTATAGCACGATGTATGCTTTACCCATTGCTTAATTATATCTAATGGTGTTGCATGGAAGAGGCATTTACCATTTTACTTCTGTTTAAAGCGACGATCTAATCCTCAGGGCCGATGGGGTTTTGTACAAAGGTGGCGACTTAATTAAAAACCAAACATAATCTATTTTTAAAAGGCAACTGCAACTTTAAGAAATAGAAGACAAAATTCACCGAGGGGTGCTTTATTTTCGTGTGCAGTGTACGGTTTCTTCTCCCTTCCTTCCAACTTCGCTTTTGTCCCACGAGTCAGCAGACAGACACGGATTCTCTGTTGAGAACAAGGCGTGAGGGATGAGTCTGGATCAAGCAAGCTGCGTCTTTAAAAATAAACACTGGATACGAGCTTTGTGCCTGCCAGTCAGCTGGCGAAGCACTGACAGCAGGCAGGAATGTGTTCAGGAGCATCTGCCCTTTCTTTTCTTTTCACCAGTTTAGTCAAAGCAAATCCCAGAGATGAAGTGGGGGGGGGGGGCGAAAGAAATACAAAAATGCACTTTATTTCCCCTAGCCTGGAAGAACTACCAGGCGGAGGCTGAGGTGGGGGGGGACGTGCAGAATCTGCGGCAAGAGGATTAATGCTTAAAGACATTAGCATTGGTCTTTTACTAACATTTGTAAATCCGATGGGTGGCAGATTGGGGGCTGATTCCACGTTTTTTCTTCCTCCTTTGTAAAATAACAAATATGGTGAAATAGCTGTCAGAACTGCCTTTATCACGGGGATGAATCAAGACAGTTGGTGGTGTTGCAAGAGACTTAAAACTTACAAATATGTTGCCCTTTAGGCTTGCATTCATCATTGTGTCTGATCTGGGATCTAGACTAAAGGCTTTTGTTTAGAACGTACCTTTTTATCCTTCCTTGGAAGTATAAATTGGAAGGAGTTCTCACTTTGATCGTAATGCTGCTGCTGTGATTTATTTTTCCCCGTTTCTGGGGGGGGGTGTGTTACCCTTGCTGATAGTGTCTGTTGTTCCTTGACAAAAGATCTTATGTCTGTGCTCTCAGGAAAATATGAGGTGGGGAGGCCCCTCAAAAAACAAGGGAGAGGAAAAGACCCCCAAAGACCATGCCCCTTCCTCATGGGTCGGTGTGAGTGTGCAGATGATGGGTGAATGTTTCAGTGACTTGTCAGGTCCCGCTGGCTGGGTTTCCCAAATGCTGAGTGACGGCAGAATAACTTTAGTACAGATGTGAAGTGGCTGTTTTCTAGGAATACGCAGGTCTTGAGAACAGGCAAACACCACCGGTGCCACTCAAGCGTCCTGCCGAGGCCAAGGGTCCAGCCTTCAGTCCCTGCTGTAATCGTGGGCTTTGCAGCAGGAGTGCAAAGCCTGCGAGGGCCTGAGGATTCCTCATGTGCAGGAGACCTTGGGTCTATAAAAATGACTAATTGGAAGCATAAACCTTGCTGTGCCCTTGAGCCACCCGGGGAGCTGGTGGCACTGTGCCGCTGGGAAGGCTCCTGCTGGGCTTCCACAGGGGAAGCTCCCCTAGTCCTGGACAGGCGTGTCAGAGGGCAGGTGAGGATGGGTTTCCCCAATGAGGCTGTGGGTTTGGGAAGGCAGAATGTCTCAGAATTACACTGTGCTTTTTGCACTAGCGCCGTTTCCATCTTGTGATGGTGGTTTTGGTGCTGTGTTATTGAGCCTCTTTATACGTGTCATGCCGGCAAAGCCCCCAGCTACTGAAATCAATAGCTTCCATCAGAGCCCCAGCTCGTGCTGTAAGAGATAGCAGCAGCGTTTTTTGCCTTATCATGGGCTGAGATGTACATGGAGGGGGAAGCTGAGACGTGTAAGCTCTCAGTTGTTGGAGCTGGGGAATATTTTGCCTTCTCATTTTATGTAACAGTAAACGCTTTGGATAAAAGTTCTGCGGGTGTTTTATTGAAGGCTTACAAAATAAATTCTGTGCATAATGCAGCAAGTGTTGTAATTCACAGCTGGCTACATGTTGTCTCAGCCAGAGAATGGGAATCGGCCAGAATAGCCCAAGAAAAATACCGTATTCCAATTTATTATCTATTATCCCGTTGTGCTTCAGGACCTTTTCTGCAGGTTTGCATGTTTGTTATTAATTTTGTCGTTTGCTTCTTGCCTGTTGCAGTGGTGGAACTGAAGAGTTCAGAACAGCTTTAACTTATGTGTCGGGACAGTTACAGGAGGCGCTTTCTTTAGGAAAGAGATTGGGCTGATGTTGATCAAAATTCATCTTGGGTGCTTTATGGAAATAAAGATTTCTCAGGTTTCAAAGAGATTATTAAGCTGCACATTGTGACAGATGCTACTGACAGTAAAAAAAATAGAAGGGTGTTAAATCTGCAAGAAATGGGTTACAGGTAAGGGTATAAGACATATCTGCTCATTAGAGTAAAATGAAACCCATCATCTGACTTGAAACAGTTTTCCTCATTCTTGGAAATTCCCATCATTCCGTACCGGTGTTGTTCTCGGGGGTGTGGGCGTCGTGCCTCGAGGAGGTGCTGCAGCAGCTAAGAATTGCGTGCGGACCAAAATGGACTTGAATAGCAAGGGTGTCATCACAAACACTGGGAGCTCACAGAGCATCCCGGGGATGGAGGGCCGAGGCGGTCAGTGTCCCGCCGTGTGCCAAGGGGAGGTCCCCCCACCGTACCTCCTGTCCGGCCCCAGTGCCCTGTGGGTGCCCGTGGTCACGCCGGTTTGACGGCTGCAGGGCAAGGCAGAGAGAGAGCAGATGGGCGAGCTTCCTCCCAAGACAGGCTTGCCAATTCAGGCTGTGACCGGTGCCGTGCTAAATCCGAAGCATGTGGCTGCTGCCAGCCTCTACAGCACGAGACTGGAGATGACGGCGCAGGTGACAAACCTGCAAACACACAAATTCTCTTCTTCCAGGCTGAGGGTTTCAGCAGGGGCTGCCACGGCTTCAGCCCCCCGGCAGAGACAGAAACGAGCGTAAGGCAGCAGGTGCTGTGAAATAATGTTGTTCCAATAATGTAAACGTACTGAATGCACTCGTCGTGTGTGAAAACTGAATATTTCATCAGTACTCCCTCCTCTTACCTGCAGCAACCTGCTGTACATCAGAGTCGAGCTCCTAATGGAACAAGTCATGACAGAGAGAGGAAATTCCACCTGCGTTTTACACTCTGGATTAATCAAGGTCTCCTTCCTTAGATCTGGGCTGTGTGTGTCCTTGGTAGCGATGTAGCTGGAAGATAAAATGCAGATAAGGAATTCTGTATTAGGACGACATTAATAATAAATGAGTGTTGATCCTAATTGAGTGTTATTTAAACATACTGAATGGAGGCAGCAGTCTGCTGGGACCAGCTCATGTTGTCAAACTACTTCTCCCTCACTGATGCTGCTTCCGAGCCACGGCAGAGAGACCGAAGCACTGGATTTTAGGTGGTGTCCTTGACAGATGATGGCTTGCAGTGATGGCTGAGTGTGAGGAGGAGCACGAGTGGAAGGTACCCACACTGTATTTCTTCTGAGGCTGTGCACAGCCTTGCCCTTCACTGCACTTTTGCTCGCTCCTCCTCCCTTCTCCCTTTGAGTGTCCCCTCATCAGAGCCCACAGGCCTCTCTGAGGGACGGCTTCCTCCTCCTGCCTCCCTTTCTCAAACTCTTCCACCAAAGATCTTCTGTGTCCTTTGTGTTCAGCGGCCAAGGAGCACTGCTCACAGAGATGCCCTTTGGGTGATGCTCTGATAAACCTCTGACTTTAGGAGAAGGAGACAGTCTTTTAATAAGTGACCTTTTATTGTCTCAGCAATGGATCATCAAATTCCAGAATAAAAGCAGATCAGCTGCCTCTGTTGCTTAAAGCCATTCTTCTAGAAACTTAGTTATAACTGTGTGAGCATCCCTGTGTAGAGATAGCTAAGATATAAACAAACTAAAAAGCTGCAGTAGCAACATCTTTTATTTAAGAACTGTCTGATGAGAGTTACAAAATTAGTTGGAGAACAGGCAATGAGCTTTCCAGCTCAGGCATGGCAGCACAACATGTAAACTGAACAAGCTAGACGAGAGAAGCTCTGTTGTGGTTGAGCATGACTCGATGGATTCTTCCTTTAGATGGTCCAAACCCATTACCTTGCAATATGATCACATTCAGAAAGACTAAATTTCTGGCAGTTGTGAGTTGCTTTCTGTTGCAGGGTGTGGCTGGGAGCGTGGCGTGGAACCCTGAGACCTTCAGAGCAGCAATGCTGCGGGCCTTGCCAGACTCTGCCGCCTGGCTCCGGGAGCCTCCTTTCCCTGCCCCCGGTGGGTGGCGAGGAGGCCGGCACTGGTCCTCGGCACACGCCGCAGGCAGCCGGGGAAGGGTCGGGCCACGGGCGGCTGCGGGGCGTTATCTACCGGTATCGGCCTGATAGGAAGCCGGGCGTGACCCCCGATCCCAGCTGGGTGGCGGATCAGAGATCTGCGCCGACGCTGTTACTGGCACGAGTATGGGGGGGAGGGAAGCAGGGCAGGGGTGTGGTGAGGGACACTGGGAAGTGCGGAAACGCTCCAGGCTGGAAAACCTCAGGGCCAAAAGCTCAGAGATTTTCATCGTCAGAAAAAGGCTTTTATCCTTAGGAACAAAGGAAGTCTTTTGATTCAGTCGTTAGGTGGGATGCGGGTACCGAGCGATGCACCTGGATTTGGAGGGTGGCTTCTCCGGAGCGGCCTGTTGGAAGCGGGCAGTCTCACCTCCAGGCAGCCCCTGCAGTCACCAAGACTGAACATTTCAATCGCTCGGGCAGCATGGTCCAGCAGAGGAGCTGCTTCCCTTTGGGCTACCAGTACTGCACCAGCCACGTTGCTTCAGCGCTGTTTCACATCCCTTCTCTTTGTAGCCTTTTGGTTACAAACCAGTAGAAAGAATTCCCTGTTGCCATTTCATCATGCAGAAATTCACAACTGTTTAAGGTAAATACAGCCTCCGGTGTCAATTCTGTGCCACTGTCATCTTTTATTCTTACTCTTTAAGCAAGAGAAGCCGAAAAGGTGGCGATAGCATTTTTTTTTTTTCTCTGCAAATTTAATAGCTGTGTGCAACTTGCTTGAATTTGCAGTATATTTTTCTGAAGCGTGTGTTTCATAATGTAAACGTGCTCCCCACAATAAGTAGGTTTTTTTAGCACGATCGAGCGTGTTGTCTCTGAAACACAGAGGGTAATTCAGCAGGGGCACGTGAGCTGCAGCTCGGTGAGAGCTGGGGAAAGGAGCTGTCCTCTCTGGGCACATCACCACTGAAAGGTGCTGAAAGCGTTCACACGTGTGTGCCTGTGCTCGCAAAAATATGTACTGAGAACGGGGGGAAATAGGTGCCTACTGTCACAGGGGTTGTGCAAAGCCTGTGACAGGAAGATGAACTCGCTGGCGCTGGGGGTGCGGCTTTGTCCCTGCAGGCAGCGTCCGGGGCGCTCGCCGAGAACGTGCCGTAAGGAGCAGAGCCTCGCGGTCACCGGAGCGGTCCCCGTTACCGGGTCACCGGTGGGGACCCACTCGGACTGCGTGACTGGGTGCCCCCAAAATAACCTGCATCAAATCTCAACATCAAAGTATTAATGCAAGGTGAGCGTTACTGTATCGCTTTGCTGCAGTCTCTGTTTCAGGGAGGGAAGTGGGGCGGTGACACCCCCTTCCCTTTGTGTGGCTGGGGCAGGGGCTGCTCTCTGTGGCTTGGAGGCCGAGTTGCCGTGCCTCCCTGGCAAGCAGCTGTTGCTCCTGGCGCTCAGTAAATGGGGGTCTTCACATAACAGAAGCATATGGAAGATGACAGACCCACTCAGCAGAGCAAAGTTGAAAATGAGACTTCTCTAGAATTCTCAGTTTTCCACCGTTACTTCTTTTGAAGAGCTCTTTGCCACAGGAAGTGGAGTTGTATCCTGGCCATGCTGAGTCTGCTGACCATGGAGAAGATGGTGAAAAGGGAATAACAGCTACTTGAATGCAGAAAGTGCAGAGGTACTTGACTGAGGGTCACAAATCTGGTAGTTGAATCTTAGTAGAAGAGAAAGTGACCATTTCAAAATGTCATTTTGAACATTGGTGGAAAACCAAATTTTCCATTGAGGATGAGAATCAAATTAAAAGCAGAATTGTTCGGACATGGCCATGTGTGGTTCCAGGCGCTGGGGGCTTGGAGGGTTTACGTTAGGGACTTCTCATGGGTGTAAAGAGCAGCAGGCTGCTGCTTCTCCTACTTTCCCTTTGCCCTGAAGTTCTCACTAGCAGCCTTCTTTATGCAGGTGCGTGACCACATCCCTGTCTCTGTGCACGTCCGATAGGAATGCAGACTGCTTTTTGTGGGGTGTTGTTTAATCAGTACTGTCCAGCCCTGACCCTGTGCGTCGCCGGTGTGGGACCTGCTCAGCTGCAGCAGGGTTGGCACGTGCTGGGAGCCGTGGCTCGGGTGCACGTGTGTTCTGTAGGCAGCCCGAGCGGAAATTGTTGTTCTCTCACCCGTGAAAAGATGTCATGAAATTAAGTCTGTAAAAAGCAATTGCCTTTTCTTGCCAGCACAATTAGCATGGATTGTCCATTCTTCTCAAAAGTTCAAGAGTGATGACTGTAGCTTTTTAAAACGGTCACTCAAGACTTGGAGACCAGATGCACTGAGCTCCAGCAGCTCCTTCCAGCGCTGCGCCGTCAATTCTCCTCACACTCCTTGAAGCATGTCTGCAGAGAGATTAAATGGTGATTTGATTTCCTCCTTTCCCCACTCCGAAAGGCTCCTGTATCTGATCACAACAGAAAGTCTTTTTGGTTCCTGTGGTCCTCCCGAAAAGATGGTTCGTGAGGTTTATTTTAAGGGGATGCTGTCTCCATGATGGATGGAGAGAGCACAGGAACTGCTCAGGGAAGAAGAGCAGTGGCAAGGAGACAAAGCTGCTAGAGAAGGTGGATTGCAGGTGTTTGGAAAAACTGCTTAATGTTTATCTCAACTTTGGCTGGTGATTTAACCACCACATTCCTTTTTGGCAGCTGAAATTGATAGATGAGTTTTGACGTTCAAATTACACTAATTTTGTGGTTTGAGCATCGTGTCATTTTTCCCTCAAGCACATGAACAAATAGTTTGTGTATCTGTGTGGGTTGTTTCAATTTTGACTCAATTTATTAAGAGGAATTTTGTTTAAGTTGATGGGTTTACATAGTTCAGATGTCCTGAAAATGACTCTTTTCTTGGAAAGCCTTTGTGTCAGTGTCCTGTAGACTGAGTCAGCAGTCCCACTGCTCGTGACAGAGTACCTGTGGCTCCTGTTTGCTTAGAAATGGAAGAATGGTGCTCACAGTCACGTATTTTTAATCTTTCCTTCTCTTCTCCCTGGTGCTTCACTCTGTCCTGCTGTGCTACAAGTGGAGAAGGAATTGATTTTAAATGTGACCACTGCCTATAAGCCAAGGTCCCCGGGCTGTGTCCAGCTAAGAGGAACTTGTTTGAAACTCAATTTACTTGTCTATATCTGTCTTTGCAGTCTTAAAAGCAAAGACTGCAGCGGTCTAAGGCAGGAAGACAAGGGCAAAAATTAATTGTGTGGATCCCAGCCAGTTCCTCAAGCGTTGCATCCCTCCAGCTGCTGTCCCTTGCAGGAAGTGTAAAACACGATGTTGTGTTTTACAGTGCACAGAGAGATTCAGTACATGAGGCCTGGAGAGTGGTAATAAAGAGACACAAATAGCATCTTCTTCCTTCCCCTGGTCTTGCAGGTACCTGTTTCAGCTACAATCCTTGCCCCTTCACATTGTATTAGGTATCTTGCGTGCGTGTGGCCGTCCACCCTGAAGCCCACCCTCGGAGCCTGGCCTCCTTCATGTGCCTTTTCCCATTCTCCCTCCATAGCAGTGCCTTCCACTCGAGATGGAGATGGTCGAGGCTCCAGGTCAGGTCCTGGAATCCATCTGTGGTGTGTGGCAAAGACTGGGGAGAGGATTTGTGCTTAGTATTGGACCTACTGAGAGGAAACTGTTGTCTAGCACAAGGACAGTCCTTGGGGACTTCTATAGTTCATTCACGTCATAGACAAAAATCTGTGCCATGTTGGTTTTTTTTCCCCCATGGGCTCCACTCCTGCCTCGCCCCCTCTGCCCAAGTATTGCTAATTGGCCGGTGATAGAAGTTGGTTTCAATAGCAGGTTTCCTTTGCTTCTCTCAACTTATGTGTCGGGTCGGTCAACTTCATCTCCCCCCAGCCAGTCTTTCCTTTTCTTTTACAACAGATTGAAATGCTGCAAATGTGTCTGCTTTAATTCTCCTCAAAACACTTACATAGTGCCAGTAAATATTTCCCAAGAAACTTCCTGAAATGTTGACAAGAAGACGGGGCCTAAAGAGTTCTCACTTGACACTGTGTTTTTATTTAATTTGGAGTTTGTAATTGATGCTGTTCACGGAGCTAACTTCCATGTCTTGGTGAGGGAGAGCAGAGATGAATACAGATACCCAAAGTGTTAACGTGCACGGTCTGGTGCTTTCCGTTAAGCAAGCAAATTCAGGGCAGCAGAGCAAGAGGGGCTTTGCAGACAACGGCCGGATTAGACGCTCTCTGATTTGGAATAAATACGCAAAGTCTGCGAGGCTGGAGGTGCTGGCGGGCTCAGAGCCGGGGTTCTGCGTGTCCTTACGTGCACCCTGCTGTCGCTAACCCCGGGCCCTCGGGGAGAACAGATGCCTTCTGGTGAGGGATCCCAGTGCCAGCCCGGACCAAGATGCTGGACTTCTAAAGCCATCATTCAGCAGGCTTAATGTAGCAGCATCCCAGCATGAAAAGCTTCAGTGGCTTGAACTTCAAATAATTTATTTCTAAATTACTTCTACTGTAATTCTTATTAATTCAAATAGTCTTCTAAGCTGATGTAAAATTCAGTAAACGCAAGGAACAGTTTAATGAATTGAAAATAGGATTGAGTCTTTTAAAGTAAATGTAAAAAAATATGCTAGCAATAATTGCTTAGATGGAAATCGAATCTTAATAGCTTTGTTAATGATTTGTAGTGAACGTTGCGTTTATGAGAACATATCAAGCTGATTCTTGTGCAAGAACCTTGTTTTGAATGGGTTTGATAAAATTATTCCCCGGGAGCAGTTAGTAACGTTTCGTGGTTTTGTGTGCTCCAGCCGCTGGGTCCCGTACTCTGTAAGGGGTGCGACGACATGCTGCCATCTTTTCACGGGTTGCCTGCCCACAGTTGGCTTTCATCAGCTTCAGAGCCCCTGGACAGGGTGTGAAGTTCTGCACCACGCAGACCCTGAGTGTATTTGATAATTGACGTGGTCATATCCCCCCACCCTCCATCAGGCATCAAGTGACTTACATGACTTGACAAACTCGGGTGTTGTAGCAGTTGGAAGTGTTCAGGAAGGCTGCGTTAAAGGTGGTGACAGCATGGTGGGGTGGCTGGACGCTCGTCTTCTGCTCCAAAGGCTTTGGGCGTGATCGACCTACAGAAAGTGCTGCAGGAGCCAAGGAGACGTGCGTGACGGGCTCGCTGCACCTCTTTTGATGGGCCTGGGGGCTCCTTCTCTGGTCCGGGTGCTGGTCTGTTTGATAACGACTTTTCACGTTGCTGTGCAAGTTCATCAGTCTGGAGAAACTTGCACCAAGAGGGGAGAAACATGCCCAGATTTCAGCTCGGTGCCATCAGGCATGGAAAGGTGTCGTGATGATTTATCAGCCTCTTTCTTTCCAAACGATGCAAACTTCTGTCAAATGGCTCTTTCCAAGGCATATCAACTAGCAACTCAGAAAGAAGGAAAAATGCAGAGAATGCAGGACAAGGGAGAAACTTGAGTACAAAGAACACCCCCAGGTTTACTGTTTGCAGACTTTACCTGAATCTCGCATTTTTTGCATTTTTCCTGGCCAGCTGGGGAGCTGGACTGTCCTCCAGTGCTCTCTGTGCAGAGGCAGCTAGTAATGAGCAGAGGCCTTCTCCTGGCCACCCAGCCCTTGGCCGCATGCCCACGTGTCCTCACTTCATTTGGCAAATTGGCAATCAAAGCCTCAAATTTCCCCTGCTTCGCTTCGCCTGCTGGTCCATAACGCCCGTGTGGTTTGGAAGCAGACCTGAGTTGTTACCAAGGGGACTCCAATTAGCGTTCCCCTGGCTGCAGTCCCTTGGCTGGCATGTCCTGGTCCTGCCTTGGCTCCTCCAGCTTGCCTTCCAGTCTTGACAAGATTCCCAGTAGTTATGGAAAACTTGAATTGCCAGGCCCCTTGTTCTGATTCCCATCCCCTGCGTCCTGCAGCGCGTGAAGCGAATTCCCAAGTGTGCGGGTGATGTCATGATTCGATTCATTAGGGGGAGAGTTTTTGAGGTGATGACCTGTAAATGATTACAAGGCTCCCGCAGCATAATTGCGCTGAATTCTTTTTTTCCTGCCTCTGGACATTAATAGTGCCTCTACTGATTACACAGAATGAGTAAAAACTGGCTCCCTAAAGTCTGCCTGCCTAAGTCAAAGCATAAGTGCTTCTTACAGAGAATTGTTCTTTCAAGGCAATTTAACAAAACTCTTCTGTGGAGAGTGGAAGCAAGTTTCTGCTACGTCCATGCACGTGTGTGGAACCTGCTCCCCTGAGGCTGGAACGAGTGTGTTTGCTTAGTTACTGGGGATGGGGGTAAAACGGTGAGGGTCCTGTTACGGATAACCCCAGCTGGCTGGGGGAGCCCGGGGCAGTGACTCGCTGGCTGATATTCCTCCATTCCCCACCTGAGGTTCTCCTGCGGGGGACACAAGTTCTGCCTCACTTAGGCTGCTCAGGTAAAAGTCCCAGGTCACCTTGGCAGAGTGGCCCACGGGTTGCACCGCTGGGCGTGCGGCGGCGCCGGAGCTTTCCGTTCCGAAAGGAAACCTGGTGACATCGTTTCTGGTGGTGCTGCTTCATCTTTGCTCTCTCTTTAAGGCAATGGTCAGAACTTGGTGACTGAAGACGTGACGGTGGTAGAGGGAGACGTCGCCACCATCAGCTGCCGCGTCAAGAACAGCGACGACTCAGTGATTCAGCTCCTGAATCCCAACAGACAAACGATTTATTTCCGAGATTTCAGACGTAAGTTTTGTCTTTCCTTGTTTGATAACAGCTTCTCCTGCGCCTCGCTCGTGCTCTGGAGAAGGCGTTTGCGGAGATCTCTTCTAATGTAAAGCTAGGCACTGAAAGTTTAGTCAATTCTTTAGAGGGTAGATGAGACAGGCAATCATAATCTTTCTCCTTAATGGAAACCTTGATGGTCCCCTTTAAAAGTCAGACCGTCTTACTTTGCAATAGGAATTGATTGTAGTAATTCAGGGTGAATTGCAATTGAGTGCCAAATATTTAGCTGACACAAACAAATTGAATAGGGCAATGCCGAGACAGTGCAGTGTTCTCAGAGGTAATCTCTTTGGGTCGAAGACTGAAAGTTTGAAGACAATCTATGCTGCTTTATAACCAGGCTCAGACCTCACATCACTGCCATGTCCGGGGAATGGGTCTGGCCTCGCTCCTGTTGTGGCAGTGCCCTGGAGTGTGGTAGCTGCAGTGAAACACTGTCAGCTGCCTGTGTTAGTGCTGTGTCCAAAGATTCGCTGCTGTTCCTGGTGATCTGCTTCTGTTCATTTTTCATAAGAGTCAGAGAGCAGAAATACTGGGTGGGTCCAGAGTTCAGTAAGAAGCATGACGGCAGGCACAGTCAGGACCCCCCTGAGGGGTGCCCGTTCAGGTGCTGGTTTTGCAGACCCTTGGCCCAGCCGCGCGGCGCGGGGGACGCCGTGTCTCGTGGCGGTCGCTCAGGGTGTGCTTGCTCCGCAGCGCTGAAGGACAGCCGGTTCCAGCTGGTCAACTTCTCCAACAGTGAGCTCCGAGTCTCCTTGACCAACGTCTCCATCTCTGATGAAGGAAGGTACTTCTGCCAGCTCTACACTGATCCGCCCCAGGAAATTTATACCACGATTACAGTGCTCGGTAAGGACCAAATAGGTGCTGGCGGTGGCCTTGGTAATCCCCGGAGACCCGGGGCCTGTGGGAGGGGGCTCTGCACAGCGTTCGGAGAGCTCCAGCCACCCAGAGAGAGGTGCAGCTCTCCAGCACTAAACACAGCAGGGCCTGGAACGCTGGGTTACTCTCCTACTGGAGACCAGCTCAGCTCTTCAGCAGCTTAGTGCAGCAGCTTACTTGAACCTGCCGACACAAGACTTTCAAGGGTGGCCAGCAAATACTTAGCAGGTTGTCTGGTGATGTGCCGTAGCCCTGGCATTGCCTTCCTGACTGGCAAGGCATCCCTGGTTGCACCCTTAGCCTCTCTTTGTAGGCTGCATCATATTTAGTGTGATTCTCAGGTCTTCCCTTTTTTGTTCGCAGGACAGTTTTTACATCAAAGAATAAGGAGAGGTGTAGGCATGGGGGTGTTCTGCACTTCCAAGACTCTCTTTTACTTGGACAGGCCATCTGGGAAGGCTGCAAGGTTTTCCTGCCCATTATAGGGTAAGGTTTAATACCAACCTTCATCTTCAGATAGCCTGCAAGGACCAGTTGTTGGTGCTGTCATTGCTCTGTAAGAGTATCTGAGTGAGTCGTCTGGCTTTTTGGGCAGGTCTGGGCCTGTTGATATCCTGGAAGGAAAGTCTGTTCACCCCAGGCTTGGCAGAGCAACAGCAGGAGCTGAGCAAGAGGAGCCCTCCTCCGTCTCATGTCTGTTCTCCTTAGGGCCTGAGAAGGCACGTTCCCTAGGAAGAAGGGGAGAGAAGTTGCAGTGGTTGTCTCTCATTCAGTGAAGTGGGTAGGAAGTCAGCTGGAAACTGAAAGATGAAGAAAGCATCTTTCCATAATTATCTGATATGCAGAGGGAGAGTAAATGAACGTGAATGCTTCATATCATGGTAGAACTGTTCCGTTTATGAATTTTGCATTTCTGGTAATCAGACCACTCTGCTCACAGACTGGATGTTTTCTTCTGAAACTTGGGGATGGGAGAGACTGCATTTTAAGGACACGTCAGCATCTTTGCCCATCGATGATACTCCATGAGACAGAGTGTTACTAACAGCTTTTCTGGTGAACTTCCTGCTGCTGTGAAGATGCAGAAGTTTTGGCAGCTTTCTCTGTGGACTTGCACATTTGGTGAAATCTTGAGCTTGGCTAATGGCAAGTGAGAGCTTCCTATTACTTTTAGGATTTTTGTGTGAGAAGTTTTGTGAGAGAATGTAAGATCTCTCATTTGACATCCTAAGCATGCTCATTTGCCTCCGAGTGGCTGTTTGCAGAGCCAAAGTGAATTGTGCGCTCTGCCCTCGATGCCCCTGCCCCAAAGCTGCTCCCACACAGCCCTGCCTCTCTCCTTCCCTCCCTTGGGCTTCGCAGGGAGCACATGTGGCCCCCAGACCGACGCCGGGGCTGATGCCAGCAGCTCGTGCTATTAGAGCTGTTAAAAAAGCGGCTTTTAAGACTCTATTAATAGGAGAACCTGAATCACAGAGGGTGACTTAATGTAAGATCTTGCTTGCTGATTAGTTTAAATCTTCCTTCTTTTATTTAATGAGATTTGGTTCTTAGGTTTTTATATGTCATTTAAATAATGTTTATAAGCAGTTCTACTGTAGCTATTACGTTTATCAACATCTTCCAAGTTCCAGCACGCTTTGCCGTATTCATCGCTCTCTTCCAGCTCTTCTCTCTAATCACACATTTGCCAACGTAGTTTGTTGGATTTCATTTTGCTGCCAACATAGCCAAAAAGGTGTTTGAAACAATGGCACTTAATTTATTCACCTGTAAGCTGGGACTGCCTGTCTTTCAAGTCAAAATGCAGGAGTCAAAATGCAGGGGTTTGTTTAAAAAAAAAAAAAAAAAAAAAGAAGAATTGTGCTTCAGGATTCAGGGGAAAGTCTGTTTTCTTGCCTTGTCCTTCAGTTCTTCTTGAGAAGGGTTTGCAGCATGGCCAGAGCACGTCTGCCTTTCCTCACCGCCCAGAAAGCACTGGGTCTTTTGTCGGAAGAGTGCTTCTCCATGTCAGTATGTGGCTGGTCCTCCTGGGACTGCGTTCTCCACCACTGATCTCGTGGTCATCGCTCAGACTTTGATCTCCCTTAAGTTCTATCAAAGAGTAGTTTTGCTGATCGGCTTCTAATGATACTCGCTTCAGAGAGCAGAGTGAAGTTTGGAGGTATCTTCCTTTGTAGTCGGTGTCGTTCGCAGCGAGCTTCGCGTTTGCTCCAGCAGCGTGTTTCCCCCGCTCTCCCGCGTGCTCCAATGTCTTCTGTGACATGAGATGTAGATTTATTCAGGCTTAATTGGAACATGTGAAAATCTCAAATATGTAGCCCGTTCTGTTCTTTCTAGAGAAAAGCCACAAGTGACTAATTAGTCCATTTGATCATCTGGATGGTATTTGTACATATTTGTTCTTCATTAGCTCAAAAACGTGTTAGTCACATTTGAACTATGCAGTTGCTTAATCATATTGATCAGAGCAAGGTTGGTTTTCCTTTGGAGGTTCTGGGGCTTGTCAGAAACTGCAGCTCTGTGCTTTACGAACTCATGAGGTTCACTTTTTTCCTGTGTTTTGCCTCCCTAGCTCCGGGTGCTTTCACAGGGGGAGAGATTGCTTGTTCCCATGTCATAATTTCTAAGCTAGTTTGTCGTATTGCTGGTTGTGCTGCAGTGATTGTTATCCCTGTGAGGTTACAGCCCTTTTCTCACTGTTGCTGGATAACTTTTCATTGAGTATGGTCTTCTAGCATTGAGTTCTGTAAGGAACTTGATCTATAAAAGCCAGGAGAGCAGCAGATGACCACCCTAAGGGAACTGCTGCATGATGCAGGTGCCGGTCACTGGGCACAGAGCTGGCTCTGCCCTCCCCGGGCGGGTGCTCTGCCTGGTCTGTGGTGGTGTGGTGGGAGGCAGCGTGGTTCCGAGGGCGATGCCGTGCCGCCCCGCGCCTGCGCTCGCCGGCTTCTCAAGCATCTTCCATGAGCTTGACACTTGCTGGCCTGCTTCCACCCCTCACGGCTGAGGCTTGAAGCTGAACAGCAGGAGAGAGGAGCTGCCGTGCGCGGGTAGAGGCGCGGTAAGTAATGCACTCCCAAATGGCAGCTTTTGTGTTTCCTCTCCTTGTCAGGAGGAGTCAAAAACGTGCGCGGAGTCAAGCTGTAGTTTTAAATAGCAGTGCACACGGGCGAGTAGCGCAGAAGACGAAAGCTCTTCCCTGGAATGGTGCCTGCCTGGGAGAGCGAGCAGAAAGTTACGAATTTGATAAGCAATAATTTGCGAAAAGATGATGATTATTAGGTGGAGAGTGGAAGTGCTTACTCTGATTACTGTGAAACCGCCTATCAAAGGAGTTGATCGACTGAAAGATCACATAAACGCTGGTGCCTAGTTTCCTCTAGTACATTTCACAGGTTTTCCTGAAGGTTTTGTCATGTGTTAGTGATCCAAAAATGTTTTTTTTCATTGAGTGTGTGTTGTGTTTTTCATTGTAGTCCCACCACGCAACTTGGTAATTGATATCCAGAAAGAAATCGCCGTTGAGGGAGAGGAGATTGAGCTGAACTGCACTGCCATGGCCAGCAGACCAGCAACCACCATCAGATGGTTCAAAGGGAACAAGGAGCTAACCGGTACATGTATCCTCACAGTCGCTTCCTTTGTTCAGAAATGATTTATGTAATGCTGAGTATTTGTTCTCTCTTGCCAGTTTGAGGAGAAAAAAAAGAAAAAAAAAAGGTAGAGTGAGCTGCTTTGAACGCCAGCTTGGGAACAAAGAAATAAAGAAATATGTGGGCAGACAGATTATTCTCTAACTCAGAAGGGCTGAACTCTGCTTGGTCCTCTGCCTACCTGCCAGACTCAAGTACAGGGTTCTGCAGTCTTTCTGTAACTGCAAGTGACCTTGAAGATAGCCCCAAAGCTGTGCCTGGAATTTATTTCCGCAGTGGCTTGCGTAGCTTGCTGCCCTGTTTTCAGTACGAGTGGGATTGTCTGCGCCATGGGCTGTAAAGATTTCCAGTTCACCTTCACGTGTAGCTCTCTTGTTTGTAGAGCGTCTTCTCTGTGTTCACTGGAATATTCATACGCGGTGGGTTCCTCCGGCTCCCCGAAGTCTGGTTGCTCCCGCTATTTGCACATTCAAGTCACTGACTCTGATTGCATGTGACGTGCTGTTAGTTTAAGTCTGCACTTAGATGCAAGCTCGGTTGACAACACCTTTTTCCTTTATCCAGTCTGAGACACCAAAGGGCTCTCTACAGAAATCCAGGCTCATTGCTTCAAATCCAGCCCCCTGCGAGGGCGAGATGAAATCCTCTCCTTAAGCCCAACACCTGTGAGCATCCGAGCAGGAGGCGCGCTGAGGGCGTGCTGGTGCAGGTGGGAGGTGGAGGCGCTGCCCCACTGGCTGCCAGCACCGCGTGGCACTGGCGTGGCACGTGGCTCTT